AACGCCTGCTCAGTTTCGCTGCTGTCCCACACCGATCAGCGCACGGGGGACTCACCTTTCTAACAAGCAGGTGGAGCGAAATACATTTAACACTGGTGATGGTCATCTGCACAAACAGAGGCCGCTGACGGCCTCGCAAATCACCTGCCTTTGCACGGGCACAATATTGTAAAGGCGCTCCCAACGTTTCGTGACACATGGAGATGTAATCGTCTTGCGTTGGCATAGGCAGAATCGCGTCCGGTAGGATTTCTGAACCTGTGCGTGTTTTACGTTGTTTTTTCCCCGATGCCCAGTTTAAAACATACTTACACGTTACAGAAGTTTTCATCTTGAGCACTGACGATTTGCACCCCGTAGATTCCTGGCACGACGGTTTTCGGCCTGGCTGGGCGGGAGAGCTTTCTGGGGTCCCCTCCGACGTACAACTGATGATACATAACCTATTCAGGGTAAAATATATCCCCTTAGGAATTCGCCAGGGGGGTCACTCCTGGCCACTTGCAGGCAAGTGATACTATGTCCCTGCATGAACTCACAACGAACAATTAGTCGCATACGAATCCGCACCACAGCGCCCAAACATGTCAGTTTTGGAGGACGCGCCGCTGGATGCCCCCCAACGGGGGGAGGGTCCGGGATCCTGCCCCCCTTTTTTCCCTGGTCCGCCGTCGGCGGACCCCCACCCCCCACCCTTTCCAGGCCCGTCGTCGGCGGACAGCCCCCCCCCATCTTCCCCCGCCCGTCGTCGGCGGACCCCCTCCCCCACCCCTTTTCAAAAAGGCGGGGGGGGGTCTGGGAGACCCCCCCCTCCGCCCTTTTGAACTCGAGCTTCGCCCCCCCCCCTTTCGCCACGCCGCCCCCCGGCTCCGGACCCGATCCCTGCCACCCTCGACCCTACTCCTAAATCGCTGTTCCCTATTCATACACACACCCTCCCCCAGCGGCCGGCGCGGCGGCGGCGGCGGCGGACGGCTGCGGCGGCCGGCGCGGCGGCGGCGGCGGCGGACAGCGGCGGGGAAAAAGCGGCGTCGGCGGCGGCGGAAGCGGCGGCGGCGGCGGCGGCGGCGGATTCGCCCCCAGTAGCTGCTCATCCAAAGACGACTGCTGAATAAGCTGCGGCTCGGGCCAGGCTCGGGTGCTACGTATGTGTCGGGAGGGCGAGCGGGAGTGAGCGAGACGGCTTGCGGGCGGGGAGGGAATCTTGTTCCTACCCAAACCCTTGGCCCTAAACATAACCCCATAACCCTAAACCCACACCTAAAACCAATTCCTGAACCCAGACCCCCACCCATAACCCGAACCCCTGATCCGCATCCATACACCCTGTCACTACTCATTGCTCACTACTCGCTACTCACTACTTACTAGTCACTACCCAATACTCACTACTCACTACTCACTACAGACTACTCACTATCCACTACTCACTACTCGTGGCTTACAAATTGCTACTCATTACTCCCTACCCACCAGTCACTACTTCAGTACCCCCTACCCACTACGCAGTACTCACTACCGGCTACCCACTATCCACTACCCATTACTCATCACCCATTTCAAAATACGCACTAATCACTACTCCCCAATCCCTAGTTCCTTCTTCATAATCACTCCTCAATACTGAATACTAATGTATCATTTCTCGTTACACCCTACTCACTATTTAGTACTCACTACTCACTGTTCACTACTCACTCCTAACTGTTCATTACTTACTACTCACCACTCACCACTCACTATTCATTATTCACTAGTCACCAAAACCCGACTTCCAAGTCGCTGCCCACCATTCACTACTCAGTACTCCCTACTCCATACTCCCTACTCCCTACCTACTAACCACGCATTACTCACTGCTCACAACCCACTACGCACTACAAACTGCTCACTACTCACTACAGAATACTCACTACTCACTTACTCACTACTCGCTGCCCACTACCCCCTGCTCGCTACTCACGACTTACGAGTTACTATTCACTGGTCATTACGCAATATACACGAATGTACTACACACTCCACACCACTCACTACTAACTGATCACTATTCACTACTCACGACGTACTCTTCACTACTCACTAAATCACCACTCACTACCCATTACCCACTACTCACGAATCACCACTCACTACTCACCACCCACAATTCACTACAAAATTCTCACTACTCTCTGCTCACTACTCACTACTCACTGCCCACTACTGGTTGCTCACTACTCACTACTCACTACTCAGTACTCACTAGTCAATATTCAATAGTTACTAACCACCACCCAACTCACAACTCAGTACTCGCTACTTACTACTAGCTACTTACTACTCACTACTCACTACTTACAACACACTTCGCACAACTTACTACTCACGACTCACTACTCACTACTCTTTACTCATTGATGGCGCCCACCTTCCATAAAGAAGCGAGCCGTTGAAGTGAGTGTCTGGCGTGATTTCAAAAGGATGAGGTTGGATGGCCACGAAGGTGCTGGGGCATTGGCGCGGGGGCATGCGGAAGTTGGGCGGCAACTGGGGCAGTTGGGACGCACATGGGGAAGTTCGCGCCAGGTTTGGATCGCGGAGAAGGGCAACGTTGACACGGGGAACGTCGGAGCGGCCCCGCCGTTAAGACCACGACGACTGGATGGTCAGTAGAGGGAGGGGGGCCATGGGACGGGGGGGCACGAAGGAGAGGGGGGTAGAAAAGAGCGGGTGGGTGTACAGGGACAGGGAGGGGGATGCGAGTCGGGGGGGAAGGGGAAAGAAGCAGCGAAAAGGAGAGAGAGGAGAAGGAGGTGAAGTACGGGATGGGGATAGGAGTACTGGTAGGGGAGGAGCGGGGCGAAGGGAAGGGGAAGAGAGGTAAGGGAAAGCAAAGGTAAAGGGAAGGAAGAAGAGGGAGGGTGAGGGCGAATAGGAGGGGATCGCATGGGATTTGGAGGAAGGTAACGAACTGGGGAGGGGAGGTGGACTTGAAGGGAAAGGAAAGGGAAGGCAAGAGGTGGAGAGACGGGGTGGCAGGGGAGGGGGGAGTGGATGGGGGGCCCAGCGCGATTTCGCACGCGACCCCAGTGGCCGGCCCAGCGGCGATCACCATTCCGACCAGGTCGCGGCGAAGGCGCATTCCGACAAGCTCCACTCAGGGAGATCATACCAGCCCTCTGGGCGGAGGTGGTCTCAGGTCTCAGGAGCTCGTTCTGCTGTTGAGGCTGAGACCCTTCTTCCCCTCGCGGGGTAAGCCCCTTCCTGGGTCTTGTCTTGAGCCCCCCCCGCGAGCGGTCACAACGCCCCAGATGGCTCGAGATGGCTCCCTGAGAGCCCCATATGGTCCCAGTCCAAGATCGCTACTGATAGCCCGACAGGGTCCAATGCATTTAGCCTCCAAGATGCCTCAAAGACGTCCGAATCATTCCGAGGGAAACTCGGGGGCTCCAGGGCGCGCCTGGGATGGGCCGGGGATGCCCGTCGCTGCCCGGCCTGAATTCTGGAAGTGCGGGGCCCACATGGGCACGAGGGGCCCAGACCCCCGACGTCATGATTTTTTCATGACGTCGACCCCCCGAGATCTCGACCCATTCCCCGGGACCGGTTTCTCGTCCTGAGTCGTTTTTTGACGGTCCCGAGGGCCGGCAAGGGCCCCCAGAGGCCAAAAATAGTGAAAAACCTCCCGTCGTGATTTTTTCATCACTCGAGGGGGTCTGGGGGGGCTCTGCACTCGTCTGGCCGACGCTGAGACGGTCCGCGGCCCGCGCGGCCAAAGACGCGGGGCCCCTGGGCCCGCCGGGCCGAACACTGGGGGGCACGGCCGTCCGCCCAGCAAGCCTCGAGGCCGAAATCCTCCACGGCCCGCCCGGCTGGGGCCCAGGGCCCGTCCGGCCACGACTGGGGGGCTCCGGGGCCCGTCCGGCCAAGGCTCGGGGATCCTGGGGCCCGTCCGGCAGAGGCTGGGGGATCCTGGGGCCCGTCCGGCCAAGGCTGGGGGATGAAGGCGGCCCGTCCGGCCAAGAGGCTGAGGGCTCTGCAGCGCGTCCGGCTGAGGCTGGGGAGCTCTGGGGCCCGCCCGGCTGAGGCAGAAGCAGCCCGAGGCCCGTCCGGCTAGGGCTGGGGGCTCTTTTGAGCCCGCGAGGGTAAGCCTCTGGAGGCTATGGCCAGGGGGGTCTGGGGCCCGTCCGGCTAAGGCTGCGGGGGTCTGGGGCCCTTCTGGCAGTCGACTAGGCCGTAGTCCTCCAACGACTCTGGCCGTTGAGCGACGACGTCGCGCAGATTGGGCGTCCTGTTGGCGGGGTCCGCATCGAACTCCAGGGTGCTCCCGTTCACCCTCAGGCCGCCCCTGAACGCGCCGCTCACGCCCACCAGCACGGCGCCATGATTCTCACAGCGGAAGACTGGCTGCTCGGTCACCGCGAGCCTGGAAACCGGCTCACCCTTGCCATTGACGATCGCCGCCGTGCTGGTGAAGGCCGACGGAGCGCGCTGCAGCCGCAGGTGTAGCGCAACGGTCTTCATCACCAGCGGCTCGGGCGGCGGCACGGGCCCCGGCGGTCGCGGGAGCGGCGGAGGCGCGCGGCCTCCGCGACAAGGTCCTTGCCGCGCGCGTCCCGCAGCGAGAACGGCACGCCGCGTTCCCTCAGCACTGTGGTGCACCTCGCGTGGTCAAACGGAGGCTCCCGGAGTGGCGGCTCCATGATTAGCAAGGCGTCCGCGATGTAGACGACAGCCAGTGCGGCCAAGCTGCGCGCCATCATGCCGAACGAGACGCTGGCTGCGCGCGTGCGTAAACTAACTTTTCATGTAACGCGTGCAAGAGCAAGCCCGAAAACGCCTGCCGCCAGTATCACCCCTTGACCTTGAGCCAAGGCTACGGAACTGGTGGGGTTTTTTTGTCGCAACCGCAGGCGAAGGCGCCGGCGGCGTCACAAGTCGGCTCGGGCTACGAGCACAACTTATTGACCTAGCGCGCGCACAGGCAACGGCAGGGCTACCGCCGGGGGACGCTGGGCTGCGCCGAGGGCTGAGGCTGCAAGAGCTGCCTGGGACTGCAAGGTGGTCAAGCAAGCGCGCGGGCATCCCAGGGACGAGACCACCGAGATGGATGAATTGGACCTTGTCGCACCAGGCGCCAGAGGTCGACGCGCCACAAGCGTGGCGAAGCACGGGGCTGCATAAACAGACCAACGTGCTAGGCTGCAGGCCAACGGGGATGAACACACATGGCCGACCAAGAAGGCTGCACCACTCTTGAGTAAACCAGCGGGCCAGAATCCCATCGGACCAGCGGCGACGGCAGACACAGCCAGGCTGTGGCGGTGACTGGAGACCAGAGGCCAGGGAAGTGCAAGCACTCGAGCCAGAACTGGTCAAGGCACCCGACTCCACGGAACCCGACTGAGTGCCACAAGCGCGAGGGACAGAGCGGGGTCGCAAACAGCCGAGGGCTGAGGTAACCTGAACCCCGGAGCTCGCGACAAGGCGCGTGAGCCGAAGGCATCACGAAGAGGGGGGGCCAGTGCCAGGGAAACCGAGCCAGGCTGTGGCCAGGTCCGAGCAGAGGCCAGGGGCGGGAACAGCTACAGCCAGCGGCCGAGGCCGAGAGGCACGCGGCGCCCCGCCCCAGCAGGGGCCAGCGTACCCGGCATCGACGGCGCCCGGGAGCCTGGTCTCCCCGCAGAGCCAGGCGCAGTGCCGGGGCCATCACCGGTCATCACAAGGCCAGCGGCCTCCTCCTCCTCCTCCTCCTCCTCCTCCTCCTCCTCCTCCTCCTCTTCATCTTCCTCCTCCTCCTCCTCTCCTCCTCCTCCTCCTCCTCCTCCTCCCCTCCTCCTCCTCCTCCTCCTCCTCCTCCTCCTCCTCCTCCTCCTCCTCCTCCTCCTCCTCCTCCTCCTCCTCCTCCTCCTCCTCCTCCTCCTCCTCCTCCTCCTCCTCCTCCTCCTCCTCCTCCTCCTCCTCCTGGGGGGGGCCGTAACGAGCTGCGGCCAGGTGCGGAGAAGGCCAGGGCGAACACAGCTGCAGCCAACGCCAAGGCCGCAGCGAGGCGTCAACAGTTCTCTACAGCGTGATCCAGAAGTGGCTCGTGCAGCGTGATCTTTTTTGGTGGCGTTTTCGTTTGGCGTGATTAGGACATGTTCGTTCAGCGTGTGATCCTTTTTGATGGGCATTTTCGTTTAGCGAGATCTGGGAATCTCGCGCAACACGGATCAGGGCTCCCAGATGCGGCCTTATCTTTGAGCTGCAGTCCGTCGTGAGACTGTACTGGCCCTGGCTCCAGCAGGGAGGGCAGCTCGGATCCGGGCCCCACCCGAGATCTGATATCAAGAGGGCTCCAAAGGTTCCAAGGCAGTCCAGGTTGACCCCGACAGCCAGCCAGAACGGCTCAGGAGGGCCCCAAGGTGTAGTCCAAGAAGGCTGCAGCAGAGGCCCAGGACGGCCCAAGAGAACACCAGGAAGGCCCAACAAGCTCTCAGGACATCACAGAATGGCCTGGATGGCCCCCCAAAACGGCCCAGAAGGGCCCAACTAGCGCCCGAGATAGCCCAAGGAGAGCTTTCAGGAAGGCCCACCACGACCCAGGAGAGCACCCGCCAGGCGGGGGGGGGCGGGAGGGGGAGAAGGGGGGCGAAGGGCATGCGCGCGCTGCAGGAGGGGCTGGTGCCAGGTCGGATCCAGCAGGGGGGGCAGGACGGCTCAGGGCTCCAAGGGGTGACGTCAAGGTGGCCCCAGAAGGTTCCAAGACAGCCCAGGATGTCTCCAAGAGCAGCTCAGGACGGCCCAAGAGCGCGACCACGTTCCCGAAAAGAAGGCCTGATAAGGCCTTCAGAGAGGCCTAGGACGAACCAAAGGAGGAGGCCCAAAAGAACACCAAGACAGCCTGGGAAGGCACCGACTGCGGCACGACACGTCCCGAAAAGGCTCCAAGAGTGCCGGAGATGCGCAGCCTAAGAGGGCCTTCGGGTGAGCGCACCGCGACCCAGGAGTGCACCCGCCAGGCGAGGGGGGGGCCAGGAGGGGAGGGGCGGCGATGGGCACGGGCGCGCTGCAAGAGGGGCGCGGGGGCAGGTGCACGCTATACTGACCCCGGCTCCGGCAGAAGGGGCAAGACGGCGAAGGACTTCCAGAGGTGACGTCAAGCGGGCCCCGCTCAGAGAAGGCCCAACAGGGCTTCCAGAGAGACCCAGGACGGCCCATGAAGGCCCCAGAGGCGGCCAAGACAGCCCAGGATGGCCCCGACTGCTACCCCAAACAGGCCAAAATTGCCCCCAAGGCGCCCAAGATTGCCCAAGAGGGCGTTCAGGGAGGCCCAGCGCGACCCCAGAGGGGCAGTAGGGGCGGGGGGGGTGCAGGTACACGCTACATGGGCCCCGGCTCCAGCAGGGTGGGGCAAAACGGCTCGGAGCTCCCAGAGGTGACGTCAAGAGGGCCCCATAGAGTTATACGTAAGACAATCCTAGATGGCTCCAGGAGAAGCCCCGAACGGCCCAGAAGGGCAACAGGACTTCCAGAGAGGCCCAGGAAGGCCAAGAAGGCCCAAAAGGCCGCCAACACAGCACAAAATAGCACCGATTGCTACCCAAAACTGCCCAAAATAATCCAAGAGGGCCTCAAGGGAGGCCCAGCGCGACACAAGTGGGGCGGGAGGGGCGGGGGGGGCAGGTACTCGCTAGAGCTCCCAAAGGTGACGTCAAGAGGGCCCATTAGAATTGTAAGCCAGCCTAGGGGGGGTCCAGGAGCAGCCCAGAACGGCCCAGGAGGGGCCCGGAGCACCCCAAAGAAGGCCCAACAAGAGAAGGCCCAAAATGCCGCCAGGACAGCCCTGAAGGGACCCTGCAGGGGCCTGCAACCCTCGCTGCCCTCCATTTATCGCCCCCCTCCACTACGCGAAGCCAGGTCTAGCACGAAGCGAACGAGTCCGGCAGGAAAGGGGTCCGAAATGTATGCCTGGGCGCAGGGGCCGTCAACCGACTGCTCAGGGATGGCGGACCGGTCCTGGGGAACGCCGCAGGGTCCAGGACCCGTGTCCCCCAGGGACCCCTTGCTTTGTTGGCGAGACGATGGAGGGAATTGCTCTTTCTCTCCACCTCCTCCTCCTCCTCCTCCTCCTCCTCCTCCTCCTCCTCCTCCTCCCTCCTCCTCCTCCTCCTCCTCCTCCTCCTCCTCCTCCTCCTGCTCCTGCTCCTGCTCCTGCTCCTGCTCCTCCTCCTCCTCCTCCTCCTCCTCCTCCTCCTCCTCCTCCTCCTCCTCCTCCTCCGCCTCCTCCTCTTCCTACCCTCAAGATGGTCCCAGGAGGTCGAGCATGGCTCAGGATAGCCTCCGACAGACCTCCAAGAGGCCTCAAGACAGCCTCAAGGTGGCCCAAGATAGCTGAGCATGGCTCGAGATAGCCTCCGACAGCCTCTGGCCGAGCATGACTCAAGATAGCCTCCGAGAGACCTCAAGAAAGCCTCCGATCGTGTCTGGATGGGCTGGTGGGGATACTTTTTCGGTCGCGGCCGCGAGACGACGGTCAGGCGGCGAAAGCAAAGTCCGGGACGCGAACTAGGCGAATTAGCTAGGACAGGCGCAGGCCAGCCGGCCCACTCAGACGGCAGCTGCGGGCTGGGTGAAGCTGAACTGATCGGCGCACTGCAAGCTCGGGCACGTGCACTGGACAAAATGTCACCAAATTCAAGCGGCCAAGGCACAACCCGCACAGAGGGGACGCGGACCACGATGTGCAAGTCCTTCGTGCATGGAGAAGATGTGCTGGCCATTGGAGTGAGTCGCCGATGTGGCGCCAGGCCCCAAGTGGACGACCTGAGCTAGCCAGACAGGCTAAGCAGTCGTGGGCCGTGGTGCGACGCACAGGGGAGGCTGAAGGTGGGCCTGTAGGACTGCACCTGTTGCGGAAGGCTGAACCACTCTGCACCATGGCCAGCCCCAGTCAGACCACACCACAGCCAGTGGGATACGCGACGCGTACTGAACTTACGAGATACCCGGATACCCCAAGAATGCTGAAACTGGTCCCGGTTCGCTGGTCCGGACTTCTACCAAAGGAATGCTTGTTTGCCGCTCGTGAAGGGAGGCGGACTCCGCCTTGCTGAGCGCCAGCCAGGGAAAAGGAGGATGAGGAGGAGGCCGAAAAGGGAGGATGAGGATGAGGACGAGGGGAGGGGGCAAAGAAGAGGAGGACGACGAGGACGAGGAGGAGAACGAGAAGCAGAACGAGGAGGAGGAGAGGGCAACCAGCAGCAGCCCAGCACGGATAGGCTGCCTCTGTCGTCGCCTTCTTTTTCACGGCGTAGTCGCGCCCGTACAGCGTGAGGTGCGGCTGATCGCCGGGAGTCAAGAAAATAGAACCGGGTATGCAGTTGACAAAGATAGGACAGGAAATCTACTTTTTCCATCTCCCAAAACGTGTTCAAGAAGTTGAAGGTGGTGACTTTCTCCGCCCCAAGGGGAAGGAACAAGTCACCACTTACACCCCCTCAGGGCTGCTGAATAATCGAACTTCGAAAAGTAGACGTGGTCACAAATGGGGTTCGAAAATACCAAACCAGGAGTCGACAAGCGAGGCCAACCACACGGAAACACTGCAGCGCGCCTTGGTTTGCACATCCTTGCAGAGCTGTCTACCAAATGCAGCTACGCACTATGAATCTAACATTCAGGCAACAGGTGCATGGTACGGCCGAGCGTGGGCCCGATAGAGGAAGAGCATCCGAAATAGTGCCCTGACAGCACACGAAATCTGGAACATCTCCGAACAATTGAATACCCCTTCCAAAACGTATGGGACCAAAGAAAACAATGCATTCGAAGGAAAATTGTGCCTTGCACAGATGCCAGAGCAGCCCCGTGAAACGTAGGATGCATACAATCGCTCGTCTTCCTCCTCCGAATTCTCCTCACCCCCTCCTCTTATATAGAGGACCAACAGACTCATCATAGCCTTCAATCCAACAATTACACCGATGGAGCACGGCTCCAGTTCAACACGAGACTGTCGACACTTCTTCCTTACGGT